ATGTTTGTACTTTCATTTTTTAAAAATTTTAATCTTTACTACCTCCAAGTTTGTTATTACATTATGTATTGTGCAAGGGCTAAAATGACCTTAAGTGGTTAAGAATTTTCCATTGTTAGAAATAAATCTTTATATATTATTTCTAAAAAGTGTTGGTACTTTTCTTGGTACGCCATTACTTCGTCAATTCTTCATCAAATCCAATGATATTCTCCTTCACGTGCGAAACATAATATCCCCCAAATTTCTGAAAAAAGTTATGAAGATTCAAAAATAGAAGATTTACCATCATAAATTTCATTTTATGAACTGAATTTGCGTGAAGTGAATAGTGGTGCCTACTGTTTAAGTTTTAACATAAAACAGCAATGATCTTTGTCACCTAGTTTGACTATTATTTTTACTATTTATTTATTTTTCTCTTCTCCTCAGGTTGTGCTTTTTTTTTTTCGGTCATATATGTTTATATTTTATATCTTGGTCTTTATGTGTGCCAATATGAGAATGTACGTATAAATAGTTCCTTTTATTTATTTTATTTTTTTTTTTTTCCATTACACCACAAGTATCGTAAGATTTTATTTTATCTTAGTGTCTGCATATTATTATATAAACCACTGTAGATATTATTACATTTTGTATTAAGTTAGTTTTCCATTAGATAGCCTATTGTTTATAAATTGTGTTATGTATATATAAATATGTAATTTCTCTTCTTTTTTTTTTTTCATCACAATTAAGTAATTTTGAGAAGATTTTATGTTCATTTGTATATATATTTTATTTTTTTATTTTTTACTGGTTACATACTTTTTAAATAATGTATATAATATTAAAATTTTTATAAGTTAGTTTTTGACCAGATTTGTACTTTACTTTGTATTAACTCATCATTGTTATTCTAAAGGGACTTAGTCCCAGAATAAAGTTTCATTTTCTAAAAAAAAAAAAGAAAAAAAAAAAAGAAATTTATCTGAGAATAACTCAAAAAGTATACATGTTTTTCTTGATTGTACCCATGATTATTAGAAATATTACTGAATTCTCTACGAAACAAAAATATAGTCGCAAAAATCAGACAATTATTAACAAAGATACAGTCCATTAGATTTGGTATACTTAATAATAATAGTTTCTTCCTCCTTGAAAATTCTGCATTTACCTTTTTTTTTACTTACTGATTTATACTTTACTATTTCTTAAAGGAATGTTTTTGTTGGTACCTATTATATTTTTTAATAATTTAAAAAATACTATGATCGAGGCTTTATTTTGGATATTACTTTTTCCATCAGTGTTCAAAAATAGACCCTACAAAACCAACTTGTACAAACATTTGGGTAAATTATGTTAAATAGAATCGTTTTAATTGACCAAGGACAAACAATAAATCACTCCCTCACAAAATAAATAGGATCTACTTATTTTCATATTGTTTTGCTATTCCTTAACTAAACAAAATATTCTGCGAATTATTCGCACGGGCCAAATAGTACGTATAATTATGAATAATGTGACCAGAAATGTTTTGCCCCTAAGCGAACCACTCTAGTGGCGTCAGAGTATGGAGCGGCAACACCAACTATTGTAGGTTGCCTTCTACAACTGTCTATATTAGATTTTTTTTTCTAAACTTCTCCGATTTCCAACGATATATTATAAGTATGCCTACCGACATATATTCCCGGAGATTTATTTTCGACCTGTATAAGCATACATATTTTTTTTTTCTCCTTTATTCAATTATCAGATTCTTTCAAAAGCTATATTTAGCATTTTTTCGCTAAATATTTTATAAAACTGCTAATTTTTTCACAATGGTTTATTATATCCAAACAATTATACATCTAAAGTAACATTACCTTCCTAGTAACAAAGAAAAATAGATGAAAGGTTATTCTAATCAATGGACTAATCTTTTTTTTATAATCATTAGTAATACGCTAAAAAAATTAGCAGTACCTAAGTAATACATTCAAAATTCAAAAACCAAAACAAAGGATAAAACCTATGCAACAGAACATATTAAAAAAACTAGAGACCACATCTTTTCTCTTAATTGTCCGATTTTAACGATTTTTTAGGCAATTCCGTAAGCTTTTAAAAAACCATATACAACATCCCCAAAAAAGTGTATACTTTTTTATTTATTCGGAATATAATTTTACCATCCCTAGTAACTTTTCTTTACAGATTCTTTTCGTTGAAGGATGTTAAATAGATAAATTTAAAGGGTGTCGAGAAAATGACTTTAGCGAAGTTTCATTGAAATCGGTACATTCGTTTAGGCTCTACAGTCTATAGCAACGCAGGTTTTTCGGCATTTTTCTCCTTTATTAACTTATCAAATTCTTCCAAATGTTATATTTAGCATTTTTTCGTAACTCTAAATAATGTGAAATAATAAACATTTTAAAATAACCCATATTAAAGGTACTTTAGAGGAAGACGTATGTGAACATTGGGCATTTGAGCCCTGTAAAGTGACATCAATAGCGATAAAACCTAATTGATATTAAAGGCCACTTAATTATACAATCATACATCAAGTTTAATCAAAATCGTTAGAGCAGTTTTTGAGAAAAAGTGTTTCAGCGTTGATATAAAGTGGCACTTCCGGTGAGCCTATTTTAAGGAAAAAGTTGCTGTCACATCTGAGGCATATACCTACCTTAAATACGTAATATCAGTTTCGTAGGACTTTTCGTTTTTGAGCTAGACTGCTAACATACAAACCATTTTTCGGGACTTTGTCATTTCGACTCAGGTTACCTCAAAACGTGTATTTCCGTTGAAAACTCAGATTCAAAAATTTTCTCGATCGCAATACTTACCCTTACTATATATTACATTTATACGTAAGTGAAAGTAAAAAAATGGGTATTTTAATTAAAACGAAACAAATAGAAATATTCCCATTCAGTTTTGAGCAATATAGTCTGTTCATTTCTTGATCCACCTTACCACTCAGCAAGCAAGGCCTAAATCTAACATGTAGTAAGGTCGATTATCATCTCGCTTGGAGGAATTATTGGGGTTTTAATGTCCATGCTTTGTTTTGAATCGTGTCAAACTTCTTGAGATCCTGTATAAAAATTGATCTGTTACTAATATTTCTAAGACCGATAAATCGGCCTTATTTTATCGAGACTGGTAAAGTTACACTTCTCTCAATTCTCCTTATTGCTAATAAATTTCAACCAATCTTCTATGTATCAACTAGTACGAGAGCCCGTGAGAAAAAAATCGACATTGATGAAAACTTTACCTGTAAAAATGGCGGCTGATTTAAAGAATGTTTGACCAGTAACTTGAGGATTCAAACGGGAAAATCATTGAAAAAATGTGGGGAAAAGTTTTTGTTTTTTTAACTTTTATATATTGGTTGACACATGTAAAAAACAACATTGCTAATGCGGGCTACCAAGGGAAAACTTGTTACAGTCAAAAAAGCCAGATTTTTTTACCTATAATCCCCGAACTGTGCACCAAAGCGAAAAAAAATTTCTTTAAGAAATTAAAGATCGTTAACTTAATAATGTGGTAAAGTGGTATGGTTAATAACGCCCTACGAACTCTGATGTTTACCAAATTCGTCAAAAACTGAGAAAATTCACTATTAATGGTCCTGCAGCTTGGAAATGAGTCCTTTAAGAGAAAAATCTCATGGAATAAAAGTTTTAGAGCATCATATTCCGCCTCCACTGACAGTTTTAATGTATATCAATTTTATTTCTCGAACAGGGATTAGCTATTTCTTCATGAAATTCGGATTTCATTTTAAACACCCTATTTCTCAAAATCCTCCGCTGTTGAGAGGTGAAAAAAGAGTCCTATACTGAAATAAACTCGTACTAGTCTCTTAACAAGAATAATTCTGTAGAATAGACACCCGTACTGCTAAAATATTGAATATTACAGATATCTTCATTACCACTTTCCAGCCATCGATATTTACTACCGATTTCGAATGGAGTAAGTAACCGAAATTAAAACTGTTGGTATTCAGAAAAGAAAGCGGAATTTGATGCTCTAAAACTTTTATTCAATGAGTTTGTTCCCTAAGAGAACTCTTTTTTAATCTCTAGATGTTAATTTTTCTTTTCATCAAGGTTCCAACATTTTCAAATGGAACATTCTCGTTATTGTCCAATAAACATCTCGATCAATTTTCTAGAGTTGATGGATAGTGTCTTTCTTTAATTTCCGTGATGGTTTGTACTGCCTCGCTTAAAACAGTAGGTGGAGCAATCGTAATTTGATCCACCTATATAGAAATTTAAGCTGATATAGATAAAGATGGAACAAAATGATTGAATATGTTAAAATTTTTATACATTAAACATGAGGAGAGAGAGGGGCAACAGCTGCTATAACATAGGTATATTTCTTTTTATTTATAGAAATTTGTCTGCTAAACATGAATAATGCTAAAAACTGAAAAAAATTATATTATATTTTATTGTTACATTCATTAAGTGAAAGTTTGATAAACCACCCATTTCAATTAACCCACCCAAATGGAAAATCACTTCTCTCAGAACCAATTGTTATACGAAACATAAACATTAACATTGGCCAATAGCCAGTATAAATCTGTATCAGTTGATTCTTATAGTCAATGGAGTCAAGCAAGAACATTCATTTGAGGATCGATTATTAAATTTTTTGCACAAAAGAAGGCAAGAAGAGTAGTATATAAAAAATCGCTCAAGCTCTATTATGTTACATACACTCTACTTATGTAATTATTATGTTATATAAACCATAGTGTATTTTGTTCATTCTGGCTTGGCAGCGAGCAGTTTGTTCCAAGCGGGACATTTAAGTGTCCTTTGGCAAATCCTGAGGACACCTGGACACAGTGCCTAAATCGAGTAATCTTGTCGGAAGCAGAACATCAGGTCACAATTGGTATGATTAACAATTTTGTTATGTTTGCAAAATCTTATGGATCAATACTCTTTTATATAGATATATAAAGGTGTAAAAAGACTATACACTCATGTTGATAAAAATATAACTTTATTAGCAGAAATTGCGTTTATAAGAACATACCTTATAACATCTTAATTGCATTATAATGACAAAGTTAAAGGATAGACAATCAGATTTAGAACTATAAAAATAATTTAGAACAGGACAAGTTATAGATTTTAAATGTATTCTTCACTCTACATTTGGTCTATTGACACACCCACAAACCAAAATTGAAAAAAGAAAAAAAATACAAGTTTTATCAATCTAATTTCCTTATGCTGGATTTCTCATTTGATCACCGAAAATAGGGATTTCACTGCAAAATCTTTCTCAAAATATTTAAAAACAACAATAACGCCAAGTTAAAATATTCAGTGAAACAGATTGTGGGGTAATGGATAACAAATACAATTCAAATAATTAAGCAAAGAAAAATAAATCTGCATTTCTACATCCAACAAAGCTTCTGAGGTGCAGTCCTTAATAATGGAGAACTGCTTGTTTTAATGAATGGTTAAATGGGAAGCTGTTATGGCCAAAATATTGTTTTAGAAGGTTTTCCTCTCAAACGCTTTAAAGGGTTAATTCCAGACCCAATGAGGAGGGAGTAACTAGGGTTACACCACTAAGGTCCAAGCTCCGATGTAGCCACAGCCCAATTTACAAAGCATTATTTTTTAACTTCTAAATTTACATTAAAATAAAGTATAGATAATATTATAAAGATTATATAATATCTTAACATTTTAGGTACATACATTTTAAAGTATGAGGTTGGGTTTTTATGATGGCAAACTTAATATGTAACAGAAGCACAGAAAAAATCTCCTATGAGTCCGTGACTTCTCTCCATAGTCCTGGTTAGTTCTCCCTAATCATTAGGATAGAGAAGGGTTACAGGAGGGTATGATGGCCACAGAATTAATTAATAGCTGTCAAAACTGGATCTGGAGTTAAAAATAAGGAAACCCACTAGACAAAAATGAGCTCTTTGATAATTGAAAAAGTAAGAACATAACTTTGAGATGATTCTCAAGATTATAAACTTATCAGTATGTACCAATTAATGAACAGTAATTTTATAGAACATTTAAAGATTACTTTGCTATATTGGTAAATCTTATGACAAGCATAATGATTTTGCCAAACATTAATATTTGGCTTCAGCAAGCACCAAAAACTAAAAAAAAAATTCATCATCACTCTAAATAGTGATCTCACATTTAAATTATATATATAACGACTGACCTTAGAATGTAGTTTTTAATTATATTTTTATTTACATGGAAATATTTTTCATTTTGTTGCTTCTATCAAATTATCTTTGTCAAGCATTGTATCCAGTTTATTCTAACATAAAAAAAAGTGAAAAATCCTTTCACAGTATGGAACATGCATCTTATAGACAAATGACAATTTAAAATTTAGTTGGAAGATGGGTTTACAAGTTAAAAAACATATTTTAACTATGCTTATACCAATATCTTCATTGGAATGGAATGAAACTTTATAAATTGAATTAATTATATATTAAAGCAATTCATCTTTTTTTTTTTTTTATAATCTAAATGTCAGATAGGTAAAATAAAATATTCCTTTCTAAATAAATATTCAAAATAAAAAATTATTCATTTTAAATTTCATGCACCAACAGTGGTGATTGATCCAATATTATAGACACATCTGAACACACATTGTATTAACATTTTAACGCAGAAGTTATTCAAAAGAGAAAAAAAAACACTAGATTTTTAAAATGTTTTTTAACTTCAAGATCTAAGTTGATATTCTAAATATTAAAATATAAGAAGAAAAAAGCTGTAATTGTGAAGCAAATCAGTTAAATGTATTATATCTACAAGCCAACTAAAAAAATAAATAAATAAATGAGAAAAAAATGACGAAGGCGATAATAAAAAATACAAAATCATTAGTCAAAGTGCTTCAAACTGATATAAACATAATTGATTTTAAACATGAATAAGCTCACCTCCAAGTTAAAATAATGAGTCCTCATTCATTGGTAGTACTCAAAAAATTCGTATAGAAAAACATAGCACCGATTGTCTTATTTCAAAGGCGTTTGTGATTGTTCATCGTACTATGTACATCAAAGCCAAAAACGAATAGTTAAGTTTTGATACTGATCTGTCAAGAAACCAGACTGTAGAATGCGCAAGTATCGCTTTTGTTTTAAATTGGAAAAATTACTCAAAGTAATTAAAAATGATCTCTAATTAATAGTTAGTTCATTTAATTTTACCATAAATTCAATAATAATTGTAAACAAACTTGTTTCGTTCAAAAATATTTGTTTAATAAAAGGCTGTGGATCTAAACATGTGTTTATTACAACAGTGATAAAATTGTTTTGAAGTATGGCCTATATATGGTATAATGATCAAAATATGGTTTTGACAGTTGTGACGTGACGAAAACATGTATAATACGAATTGTATGTTGAAACTTAATTTTTATGGGACTGCATGCTTGTTGCATGGCATGTTTTTCCTTGATGTTGTTTATTTTGTTTTTAAAATTTAAATATTCTAATTTGTTAGGGTAAAGGAATGAATATGATATTAATAAACTTAATTGACTCTTAAAATTATTAATTGTAAATTTAAGAAATGATGACTGTTAAGAGGAAACCAAAGAAACAAGGTTTATCAAATTCTTATTCTGTAGTTAAATACAATGTTATGGCAGAAAAGATGTCTTCTTCTGATCATGCTCCTCCAACTTATTTAAAATTATTGACAGGAACATTGGTTAATGTAAATGTGACCTTAGATGAAACTTTTGTAGCCATTAAAATTGTTAATTTGGAAAAACAATACCATGTCTCTGAAGAAGACATTTGGAAATGCCCACGAGATGCATTGATTCATGTTGATAAAAGCGTTTGGCCAATTTTATCCGCTGTTCCTTCTCCGATAGATAGGGTTGTCTTGTTAAGGGACAGTGTTTTGTTAGAGGAACTTGCAGCCATAAAAGTAGGTTCTGTCGTGAACATTTTGAAAGATGGATATGTGAATGAGTACCTCCCTGCTGTTGTTAAATATAAGGGCCCCATCTCTAAAAAAGGTCCTGGAGTATATTTTGGAGTAGAAATTTTGGTATGAAGTAGTTTATATAATTATTTAATGTCATTTCATTGATAAAGTATCTAAATTATATGTTAATTATTTTTATATGTGCTAATAATTTATTTGATGTTTAGTAAAATGTGATTCAAATTAAATGTATTTTGTTATTTTATGTTGTATAGGAAGGAGTCCATGAAGGAGATAATGATGGTTGTTATGGAAACCAAAGATTTTTCAGTAGTCCACCTGGAACTGGGATGTTTGTTTCAGTAGAGAGATTGCTTCCTGCCAATTACTCAATGAGGCAAAATTTTAATGATTCCGTCCAACAGAGTAAACTTGTAGCAAGCATGCAGAAACAGTTTTATCCTGTCAACTCGAGCATATCTGAAAGTATGTTTGATAGCTGGTCATTTTCTTCTTAGCCATGATACATAAATTAATGGTACAAGAAGTTACAAGATTAAACAGAATGCCAGTGTATATTTTTTCAAATTTAATGGCATACAAAGTATTAACTGTATTCAAATTAATATCAAGTTAGTTATTATTAGTTACTTAATAATTACTAATGTTGATTATTAAGTCTGAAATCTTATATTCAGTGATTTTAAATTTAAATATTTGAAATATAAAAACACCTTTTGCAAGTAAAAGGTTTTTGTGTGTGGTAGTTATAAACATTGTCTTGAAAATTAATAACAAAAGAATCCTATCTGAATTGATTTTTTTTTTCAGGTCAAAAATTCATTAACATTTTGTATCACTTAAAAAGTTAATTTTTAATTTCCCAATAATTTGGTATAAAACTTATTTAAAAAGTTGTAGTCAATTGATTGTTAGAATATGTCAAGTAAGAAAGGTTGAATTTAGTTCAAACCGATGATTTGTTTGAAATCAACTACAAATTCAATCATCCTTCATTACTGGGCTCTTTGAAGTCCTTTAAAATCAAGGGCTATCACCTTCTAAATTGTCCAGCATTCTGATTGAGGAATTCCCCATTTTTTTTTTTTTTTATTTCACGTGGCTGTCTATAGAGCAGTTTTCTTGTTTCTTCCTATTCATTCTTGTTTGTCCTATGTTTTCTACATGCCCCAACCATTGACTGTATTGAGCTGAATGACTCACTATGCCCAGTTCACTGTACAGATCCCATAAATCTAGAATAGTCCCGATTTTCCTATTATTGGTACTGGTACTGGTAGGGAGAATTACTTGGGCAATCAGGCTACTTGATTCTTTTTGCCGATTCCTGATGGCTACCTTCAGGTTGCTACTGCATATGTACCAGAGTGGAAATGTCTAGATTTATTTTCCAGGTTGTGAACATTGCTTGCAACCGGGCACTGTGGAACCCACACCCCAATGTGCTCCGCCATCCTGCCCTCTGATTATTATAATAATATCATTTATTAAAAAAGATTTAATCTTAAATGCTCTTTTTGCAATCACTGTACTGATTTTACGGAATCATTTTGACCAGTCTTATTAATTTCTTTAAAGCTCCTAGCTTCTCCAGACACTTATACAATTTTCCCTTATCACAAAATCATATGTTTGCCTGAAGTCCTCGGACGAATGATGCAATGTAACATTGTTCTCATATAGCCTTAGGGCCAGGGCCGAAAAATCGACCTGATCGCAGACGAAGATTTGAATATAAATTATGAAAGTGTTTGTTATTCTAAGTAAAATGAACCTTGTCTACCATTCCAGAGCCGCTGCTTTTAAAAATGGCAGCTTATTTAAAGAATATTAGGCCAGTAACTTGAGAATTGAAACGGGAAATTCTTTTCGAAAAATGTGGAAAAAGTTTTTATTTGTTTAGCTTGTATGTATGGATTTAAACATGTAAAAAACCAAAAATTGCTAATAAGGTCGACCAAGAGGAAAACTTTTTGCAGCATAAAAAAACAGCTTATTTTCGAACTTTCTTTGTTTTTCCACCCATAACTTATAAATAATGCATCAAAGTGAAAAATGTACTCTTTAAAAAAATAAATAACGTTAAATTTTATGTCGAACTAGTACCTAAACTTAATAATTTAGCTAAGTGGTGTGATAGAAAACTACGGTCAACCAACGCTGATTTTTTTCAATTTGTCAAAAACTGAAACTAATTACTTAAAATAGCATCGAAATGAGTTCCCTAAGAAAAAAAGCCCATAAAATCAAAGTTGTAGAGCATCAAATTTTGCATCCACTGAGTACCAACAGTTTTTATGTAGGTCAATTATACACTGACAGGCAAAAAATTCCACCCACTTGATTTTTTCATGTTTTCATCTAAAAATATTTCTGCTTTGGATTGGTCTATTGTTTTTAATAAATACATAGGTAATCTTTTTGTTTGTTTCCAATTAGGAATGTTAATATAGAGGACAATAACCCTTAATCCTTAATTCAATGAAATGATTCTAGATTCCAATGTTTACTTTCTATGGAATCATAATGTTTATTCAGTATCGTTAGTTCAGTGCCGTTTCTTGCAGCACATTTCTTAGTATCCGGCTTTTAATTTTTTTAATATTAAGTTTAAAAATGCCTCTTAGTGCTGAGGATGTTGCGCGTGGTGTGGCACTTATTGATAATGGACGTTCCATTAGATATGCAGCTAATGCCATCGGAGTTGCATATGAAACTTTATGAGACGCCGTCAGGCGTTTTCGGGAAACTGGTTCTTACAATAGAAGGCCCGGTTCTGGACGGCCTAGGATAACAGAACCACAGGATGACCGGAAAACTGGCACCTTACCGTTGTTCAAGCGATTCATCAGCTCGAAGAAGTTTGAGGTGTGCAAATTTCTGAACGTACCGCTCGGAGAAGATTAAATTAGTATGGATTAATGGCTTTTCGTTCAGTAAAAGGACCAGAGTTGACCAGAATTCACTGAATAACACGGCTGGCTTTTGTTGGAGAACACAGCGATTGGACTATGGATGAATGGAGTGCTGTACTTTTTACAGATGAGTCAAGATTCGCTCTTCGATCTCCAGACGGGCGTGAAAGGGTGTGGAGAAGAAGAAACGAAAGATATACAGCCTGTAATTTTTCCCAGAGCCAACCTTTACAACGTGGTTCCTTAATGGTGTGGGCTGGGATTTCAATGGAGTGCCACACAGAATTGGTTGTTGTTTGTGAAGGCTCTTTGACGGCCATTCGCTATGTAGATGAGATTTTGGAACCTCATGTGTTGCCTATCCTCAACGAAATCGGCGATCGTTCTATTCTAATGCACGATAAGGCACGCCCACATGTCGCCCGCATAGTGCAGACGTTCCTTCAACAGAACAATATTGAGGTTTTAGCCTGGCCAGCACGTTCTCCAGATTTGAACCCCATTGAATATTTATGGGATAACCTCGGAAGAGGAATAAGAGCGCGTGCAACACTTCCTGATACACTGCAGGACCTTGAAAGGGCTCTTCGGGAGGAATGGGCTATCCTCCAGCAAAGGGACATTTCCCGACTGGTGGAAAGTATGCCGAGGCGTCTTCAAGAAGTAGTGAAGGCAAGAGGAGGAAACACGCGTTACTAAACGATGATGTAATTAATTTCTTTTAGAATAATAATGGTTCGTTTATGAATTTTTTTTCTCTAATCTTTCTTACCCAATTACATTTTGATTATCAAAGGTAAAAAAGATTATAAAATTCCATAAATACTAAGTATTATCTACAAATATTACTATAATACTACAAGTATTATACAAGTAGATAATACTACAAGTATTATCTATAAATACTAAGTATTATATACAAATACTACTTTACAGAAATATTTTTAGATGAAAACATGGAAAAATCAAGTGGGTGGAATTTTTGCCTGTCAGTGTATATCTCAAATTGAGATTCATTATTTCTTCATGAAATTCGGTTTCTTTTAACACATCGTTTCTCAAAGTACTTTGTTACGGAAATTACAGTAGAGTAGACACCCATACTGTTGAAATAATGAAAATCATACATACCTTCATTATGAATTTCTAGACATTGAAAGATTACCGATTAAGTTTGGAGTAAGTGCCAATGATTAATAATTATATTTATTTATATATTTCCCGACGTTTTAGCCCGAAGTTCAGGCCTTCATCAGGGCTATTCAATCCGACAAGCGTGGAAAGACGAAGGTAAAGTTCACAATACCTTTGTCTCTCTACGCTTGTTGGATTCAATAATATAAAATAAATATAATTATTTATTTTTACTATTTTTTATTTTGACTGATCACATCAACCATTCTTCTCTTCAAAAACTAAAAATGTTCAAAATGGTTCAGTTAAAACCCCAAAAGTGTAAAATTGTGTGCATAATACTTTAAAGATACAAAAATCATAGTTTTTGTATAATTTATAATATTAATACATAAAAAGCTTATTCACCCGTGTCTTAGAGTCACCTGTGTCTTAAAATTAGTTATAATGTGTACTAAACTAAAAAAAAAAAAAACCTAATTCTAATTCTACAATGCACTGCGATTAGCCCAAATCTAGATGAAAGATAAACAACATATAAAGTTAATAGTACATTTAATAAAAAAAGGTGCATTATGAGTAAAATCGAAACTTCTTAATCATGAGGAATATGTTTGATAAACATACCACGTGCATACAATGGTAATTTGCACAGGTTTAAAATAATTGTATGAGGTTCCACGGCTGCAATATCAAAAGAAGAAAAATATATTCAAACTATCTAATAAAAGACATTTTACTTCTTTCATTTAAAATTGCTAATTTTCAAAAGGACTTCCTTTTAAGTACCATTAATGTATTTTATTTGAAATTATGAACTTTCTTTTGTGGTTAATAAGAAATGGATAAGTATGCAGCACCAAAGAATTTGGTGATTAACAAAAGAAGATGTAATTTCCCAGGTTGAAAACAAATTTACAGAAATAAGAATGGTAATATATTGTTGGAAACCTAAGAAGGAAAGAATGAAATCTCTAATATGTAAGGGAAGCAAAGGTAATGGAGATTGACAAAAAAATTTGAATAATAATTTCAAAAAAGTAATATTAAGTGAGAAAAAAATGTTTCCTTATATATTAAATGAAATTTCCAGCTGGAAAATGTAAAATTTATTATAAAAACAAAATAGAAAATTTTGCAATTATTTTTAAGCTTGACAACTAAAGATATGTAATGCATTGAATTGTTGCTCTAGAATTGTTTAAAAACTATTTCATGAGAAAAGATATTAAGAAGTGGATGCCTCCGAGTATATTCAAAGCAAAGTTTACAATTAGGAAAAACAAATGGTATAAATAAATATCTTTTGCTCTGATAATAGATTTGATCATCAACGTAATGACATTTAATAGAAGAGAACCAATCCAAAAAAAATGAGTTAGATATGGTTTTGAATAACAATAAGGTGTTTAAAATTTTATTTGAAAAAATCTCTTGGATCAAGTAATTTTAATTGAAAACTGTAATAGAAAAAAAATAATGAAAGTTGAATTTTTATTCTTTATTGCAAAAAAAGAACCAAAACGCTATAAAGATAATTTTTGATCAGTCTATTAATAAAAAATATTGATGGTAGGCTATGAAATCTCATAATCCCACTTTATTAAATTTTACTAAGTTTCTTTAGTTTTTACCTCATTGTACAATATTTACTTATTTATAGATTAGAAATGTTGAAATACTTTCAAATCTCTCTGTATATAGAGTTCCGAAACTGGAGTTATGTGGCTTAATTAAAATAAAAATACAGAAAGAAAAAACATACAGATATTAAATAAAATAAGCATAGAAAAATAAAATAACATAAGCAAATAAAATAGTTTCTGGGGAAACTTATAAAGTTCTTTTATGTACATTTTGAATGAGGAAAACGATTGTGCATGCTGGATATCAGGAGGGATAGAATTTCAAAAGGAGATGGCTCGAATTACAAAGGATTTCTCACACACAGCAGTTTGGTGAGGAGGGGGATAGAAGTCGGAAATACGGGATCTAGTGGGACGGGATTGAATGGAGGATTTAAATTTTAGGCTCAGAAAAATATAGGAGGGTCGCTGGTCTAATGGCCTGGTATAGAAAGGTTGCAAGGAAGTACAGAGAGCGGTAGGATAAATAGAGTCACTTCAACTCGGAGTAATACATGAGTAATGTTGATAGATCTTGTGATCCTGAAGACAAAATGTTTAAATGGTTTAAGGAATATAGTAATTTTATTTTGTTTATAATATCAACGGTAGAGCATTTTTATTATGATTTTAGTTATAATAACGAAAAAGAAGAACATGCTTGTGCTCTTCACTCGAAAAGATGATTGTGACGAATGAGAAGTTAAATCAAACTAAAAAAATATTCGGCACCGACTACACTATGTTGTCTTTAATCGAAATCAAAAAGATAGCATCTTGTGTAAATCAGTGAGGTTTTTTCAAATAACTTTCGACTAAGCTGCAATTAGACTTGGTTGTTTACAATTGCTTTGACACTTTTTAGTTTTGAAAGGTAGCTAACTAATAAATACAGATTATTATAAAAATACAATACATATATACGTTTTGCAGCCGTGAGTAATGAAAACATGAGAAAAACCAGCTTTGATTCTATATATCTGCATTAAATTAACATTATGATAGAATTATTGCATTATCTCCAATTATACCTTATAGTAAACTTATACTATAAAATGAATATACATAGAGTTTGTTAGCTATATCAAGCGTGCTGAGTCTTAATTGTTTGTAATAACAACATCAACATGTTAATAATTAAAATGAATGCAGAGTTCTATTGATGACCATAGAGCTTTATTCAATTTGTTTGACATCGTAGCCATTACCATAAAAAATATAGATCTTTTTTTCTGTAAATTACAACAATAATTTCAATTTAAAATTTGGTTTCAATATATTTATTTTTTTTATCTCAACCTTTAGAGTATAGGGAAGGGCTCAGGATATGTCATTAAGTGACAACTAACCTCAATTTCTTGCAAAATTAGGAAAGTTCCTACAACAATTTTAAAACATGTTACCTGTTTCAGAAAACTTCACAGCTCTACAATTCAGAAATAAGTTGACAATCTCTCAGTTCAATTTCATATTTTTTTAGGTCTACACCTGTGCCAAATTTCGAGAAAATCTGAAGTGATATTTAGAGCCTGTCTTGAGTTGATATGGAATGACTTAGTCAGCTATCTTAATAAATTCTTTAACTTAATTAAAATATTTCCTATGACATTACATGTCTAAAATAAAGCCTGTTATATGTATATTATATGATTGTAATAGTTGAAAAAACAATATAAACTTAACTACTTGTGTTGCATTTTCACTCTAAGTTAATAACTGAACTTACAGTATACCAAATACTATTATGAATTTAGACTGGTCATGGGATTTTTTCATGAAACACTTGAGCACCTTATTTTTCATCAGTTTGAGTTTCCGTATGGTGAGATTAGATTAAATGAATCACAAATTTAGTGATAAGATAAAAATATTAATAAGTCAACTTCATAAACCATTTCAGATTAAAAATTAAGTTGCTGAGAAAAGCATTATAGAATATGTTTTCATTAATTTAGATTACCCCATGCAAAATATGGCTGTTGGAGCTATTACCCAAATAGAACAAGATCTTACAAACGGATTCCGTACTCTTTTTAGGAAATTAAATAAAAAAGGTAACAAAAAGAATGTAATATTCACTGAAACAACATAAATTATGGGCTAATTTAAAATTATGAGTTAGAAATTTTTGTTTATTTTGAGTCAACTCCATTTATTGAACAAATTAGTCATTTTAAAATTGCTGTGTATATATGCTAATTAGTTATGTGTTATAACAAACCAATTTTTATGATAATACAAAGTTTGTTGTATCATGGGAATATTTCTATGTAATCTTAAAACTTTTCTTATTTAAACAATATTTGAGAAATATCTGCTCCTCATCATAATATTTATATATTGAGAATGTTCATGAAAATTAAAAGCAATTTTGTGTCCTCATGCTGTATTATTATGATCATTATTATTGTTAGACTTATTGAAAATTCAATTTATTAGTTTTTATTTTTAAAATGTTGTAGCTATATGTGAGTGTGAAAAAAGTGAACTGAAAATTGGTGATAGAATAATTTGGATGTATGATAATGAGCCTATTTCTGGGATCGTTCGTTGTATAGGATATTCAGAGAGTAATCAGTTGAAAGTCAGCATTCAGTTGGTGAGTATGCTATGCTTTAAATCTATATTTATATGATAGTGCTCTTTTTACTAATGTTAATTCACTAATGAAAAACTTAGTTATCAATTGTAGCTTCGGATGGTTTAAATTGATGCATACAAAATGTATCTTGATCTGAATTCCGATTAAGGATAGGTTTGCAATCTGGTAATAATACAATCTTTCCAATTGGTATTTACAAGAAAGGTAGGACTGGTTCCTCAAAGCTGAATAGCAAAGATTATCAAAATATTCAGTTTAACTATAGGTAATTCCAACTTCCCTGCAAAAAACTGAAAAGATATGATCTTATATTATGATAAGGTTACTCTTCAAGTCTTCTATTACAGATATATATTATATTAAATATATATTAAACACTATATTATATGGATCTATGTAATTTATAAATCTATATTGTCTATATTATGGTATTTTTACTTTTAAAAAAGTCGAACCATAATGATCCTCTCCGAGTTGTCTAGAGTTAATTAAAAACTCATCTGTTGTGTGTTTGTTAAAAAAGAAATACTGATTCTTAATCAATAACAAACAAGTTTTTGATTTTATTATTTTTTTTTTTATTCATCCGGTATCTATTTGTTGAAACAGTAATAATTATCCTTTATTAATTTCAAAAAAATTCTAAATACAAAACTTTTGTTTTCATTGATCAAAAATAAAAAAAATAGTGACTCATTAATTTAAGCTGCTAGTCATAGTTGATATAAAAGGTTTATTTACTTGCAGAAATAATTGCTTCTAATTTCATGTCTACATTTAACTAGTTTGAAAACTACTGGTGTATAAAGTTAATCACCTTAAAAATGAAAAAAAAAACTTGTTATAATCACAATTTTAATTACTACTGGTCCTTAGTATAAATCTAATAGCAAATTATTTTATGTTGGTTGACCTTTTCATCCTTTGTGCTATATTTGTTTTGTCTACTAATTTATGAAATCTTTAGGATGAACCTGTTCATACAGACTATGTGGGAGGCCGTGAATCCAGAACCATTACTGTTCCTGCTCTTGAATTAGTCAAAGCATCTGATTTTTATGGAGATGAAGGTACATTTTTTATTACCATTATGTTAATTTTTTTTAAGTGTATTGGGCCAATTTATCTTATGTATTTTTCTTTTAAGTATTTTTCTGTTTGTTTTAATATATATATTTTACTTATGTTTTCTTATTATTTTCTTTTATTCTTAATTGTATATAATTTGTCTATTTTAATTTATATATACAGAATGAATGTAAGCATAGAGCCATAATAACAAGTGATGTTGATTTTGGTAGATTATATTGTTATTATTCAAATTAATCTGATACAGCACAAAAAAAAAATTGATCTTTAACTATTTTGGGAAAATTAAGTTGCTTGTTATTTTTGCAAGATACAAAGTATAAGGATTCATATTTTTTAGGTGAAAGTAAAGTCAATGGGGAAGTTACTTGGAGTAGTGGTGCCACTAGTACAAGAGATATAAATACAAAATATAATCAAGCTACCCAGGACTTCATTACATTGAACACTCCACCATCTTCTTATGATGGTAAGTAATTTGAAAGTTACTTCGAAACTTCTGAGTTTTAACTGGGTATATTAATATTTTAAGCTTCAAAGCTTCAATCAAAATAATTGGTCTGTTTCAAAAATTTGTTCATTTGATTTTTCAGAACTTTAAAACCAGCATTAAAATATTTCCCGAGAATGAGAGATAAAAATATTTCAAAATAATAGCAAACTATTTAAAAAAAAACTATGGGGTGCTCATTAAAATCCATATTCTAATAATGTTATTAAGAAGGCGATTTATTTTTATTTTTATTTTATTTTATTTTATTTTTTTTTTATGGCTAAAATATTGAACATTATATATTATTTTAATTTGTTAATTTAACAAAAAAAATTTGCTTAAATTTAGGAAAGATTTTACTATTGAAAATGTATGTATTGAATTTTCAAAATTGTTAATAGAAAGCAATACAAATAAATGACTGTGAAATTTGTAATTTAGTTTTAAAATAAAAGTATCAAATTCTTAAATTTTGTTGTATTGGCTTGTAAATTAACCTACTACTAACTGAAAGATATTCTAAAACCTATTGTTAACTAATTAAAAGTAAAAATCAATATTTTATCTCTATTTCTGTAAAAATGTCCTAACCTTAATACTATAAATTTGCTTTTGACATATCTATTTTTTAGAATATACAGTATATAATAATGAACATTAGATTAAGAATATCTAATGCATTAAAGAGAATACAAATATTTATAAAATTCTTGAGGCTGAAAAGAAGCATCACAACTTAAAATAATTTATTTTCAATGTTTTAGTTATCTGAGCATCTTCAGATGAATTAGGTACATTTTATGTGAAATAATTTTTTTTAAACCAACTCTAAGAGAAGATATTTATGTTTTTTTAAATAGTTTTGATTAACTAATATAACTTATTGAATATAATTAATAAGTTAAATTAACCCATTCTGATATAAAAGCATTTAAAATTTGTTCATGATTTTAATCACATTATTTTCGTTACAACATGATAAATACATATCATCATTCCAATGTCTTATCACTATTTGAAATAAAATTGATCAACTGAAACTTACTTACTTATAAAACTTGGCACTATCAATCCATCATATCTAATCCAATTAATCATTCAGGAAAAAAAAAACTATGTATGCTGCTTCTTATTTATAAAATGAATTTTAATTAAAGTGATAACCTTATTAAAACTAGGTATTCAGAGAACTGAACGATAAACTGTATTTTTAGAATGAGGGTAGTATAAAAATAGTACTAGGAACAGACACGAGTTTTTTGTTGTTTTTTAATTTTTTAAAACTAGCTTTATTTCTTTTTAATGAAACTAATATTATTCGTAAAATTTAAACATAATTTTCAATGAATTCTTCCTTTTCTATTGTTGCTCTATAAAATCCCTCATTTATGTACAGAAATTGCTATTACATTATGTCATATTTAAATATTCCACTACCTGTATTGGAAATAGAAGAAAAATATGCCAGACAATATCAGCTTCAACAAAGTAATATGTTGTTTTTGTCAGAAACATAAATAAACAATCCATTTTGTTATGTAATTAGTCTCTTGATGTTATCATTCTTCTTTATTTTATTATTTATAATTCAATCATTCAAAATTTTTGCACATTGGAGGATGTTAGTGTTATTATATTGACATTTAATAATTATTTTTATTAGATGGTGCAAGTAGTGGAAGTGAAGGAAGCGGATATTATGACACACCAGATTCATCTAGTGCTGAAAGTTTTTGTGTTGGTTCTTTAGTTGAAGTACCTATTAATGGTGAACCTAACTATGGAGTTATTCGATGGATTGGGACAGTTCCTGGAGACAAGAGGTCTCGAAGAGTTGCCGGAATTGAAATGGTATGGACTAATTTGTACTTACGTTTCTAATCTTCAAAACATATCTATGAAGAGAAACGGTATTGTGTTTGGAGTAAGAGTTTATTGTATAATTCTGTTAATAAAAGATGTGTAATATTATAAAAAAACTCAAGATTCATTGATAGCAGATGGCAAGTGGAATCCATTACAAATGGTTTTGTATGTCATGGACTAATCACTAAAATATCATCTTACATATTCCAAAATTTTCAATGATTACTGTATGTGATAATTATTTCTCTTAGTCCTTTACTGAAATTAGTCATTTTTTGTCATGGTATTTTGCCAAATTCTTTAGTTAGTAACAATATTATTTATAGTTAAAAGGTTTTTAACAAAAACAAGATCAAGGCAATTGATAGGGGTGGATAGTTTTGGAATTGATTTTCGTAGTTCTGTTTTAGCATGATCAATAACTGTTTTTATAATAAATGGGTTGATAAATATGTGATTGGATATATATATATATATATATATATATATATATATATATATAATCTTTTTTTTTTTTTTTTGAATCTTAGGAAAAAGAACAACCTGGTTTTGGTGATGGCTCATTCAGTGGTCGTCGATATTTCCATTGCAATCCTGAAAGGTCACTGTTTATAAGCCTTAACCAATGCAAGCGAGACTCAAGGTTCCAAGACAGCCCATTCAAAAGAATTCCTCGTAAGAGTGAAGGTAATACAATTTAAAATTATACCTTGATTGTATATCAGCTGTTAATGTCACCGTTTCCATTTATAATAAAAAATCTGGTGCGCGCAACACACAACTTTAACTTTCAGCTCTATTTTGAATAGAAATTATTTTCTGGCAATGTTGGACTATTATAAAATTTTTGTAGCGTATTTTAAACAGAACTAAAGCTTAAAGCTTACAGATAACAAATCATTAAGACCATTACAATTATAAAGGTCTATTTATTATATCGACGGTAGGCAATAAAAATCTAGTTCCTCCCCCTGCTTTCATAAACTACACAAACACACATAAACATAAACACACATAAACTTAGTTTATACCTTTATAACACTGTGAATAAAGGTATACATTTTGCCACTAGAAACATCACTAAAATTAATAATAAAGAATGTTGAAATTGGAGTTAGTCATTCTGTCAATTGAAAGGCTCATATACCTAGAGAGATTTCAAATTACATCAGAATATTTAACCTATATATGATTATGGATTGTAGCACTATTAGTTATTAAACTGTTACTTTCCATTTTAAAGTTTACTAAAATGATATTACGAGATTTCCATTGCCTGCCATGATTAGGTCAAAAGTTGTCAAACTAATTGTAAGGGGATAGTGTTGGGATTTCATGAAGGAAAAATTCATCAAATTATTCACTAATTTAATTTTCTAAAAGGTTACTTGATGATTTTTTTGGAATAAACGGCCAATGGATACCTGATTATTTAAATATAAAATCATCTGTAGAGTTATTAAACTTCAGAAAATATATTTAAGATTATAAACATATCCATGAAATATTTTTATATTACACTTCTTCTTTCACACAAGTACAATGAAACAATATTTTAAACAATTGCATTGCCTTGATTCGGTGGATTTTAAATAATTTTTTGCTTTACTTAAAAATAAAAGGACGATTGATATCTAAATATTTAAATATAATATCAGATCTAGAATTATTAAACTACAGTAAATATATTTAACATTATAAACATATCTATAAAATATTTTTATATTTTACTTCTTCTTTCACACAAGTACAATTAAATAGTAGTGGATACTGTTGGAATATCACAAAGGGAAAATTCATCATATTCACTAATTTAATTTTCTAAAAAGTTATATGACAATTTTTCGGAATAAATTTTTTTTTTCTCGGAATAAATGTTGATACCTAATTATTTAAATATAATATCAGATCTATAATCACTAAACTACAGTAAATGTATTTAAGGTTATGAACATATGCTTTATACATCCATGAAATGATTTTATATTTTACTTCTTCTTTCACAACACAAGTACAATGAAATAGTTTTTTTAACAATCCCATTGCCTTGATTAGGTGGATTTTAAATACTTTCTAAAAACGTAAAAATATTTTATAAAGTTTTCCTTTAGTTAGTAAATTTCATTTAATTTCCTTGAAAACATGTGATTTACATTAAATATTATCATTTTTCAAAAATTATTATTTCTAATTTTTTTGCCGCTCTCCGTTACCTTCTACAACTTTCTATATTAGATATTGTTTTTCCTAAAATTCTCCGCTTTTCAACGATATACTATAAGTATACCTTCTGACTTGTATTTCCGGAGATTCATTTTCGACCTGTATAAGCAGTTTTATTTTTTTTTCCTTTTTCAATTTTCAAATTCTTTCAAAAGTTATATTCAGCTTTTTTTTCTTAACTTTCAATAGTCAGAGATAGTTGATTATTTAAAATAAACCTTATTAAAGGTATTTTAGAGGAAGATGCATATGAACATTGGGCATTTAAGCCCTGTAAAGTGACATCAACGGGGATAAGACCTAAATTATACAATGATACACCGAGTTTAATCAAAATCGTCAGAGCCGTTTTTGAGAAAATTCTATACCGAAGTCGTTGGTCATTCAACCGTCCAACATATAAATGTTTTTCCTTGATATGTTTATATCTTTAAAACCGCACGTTCAATTTGGATAGAAGTTAGGAATTTTTATTCACTACTTCCAAAAAAAGTTACTTCCACTTTCAGATCAGGAAATTTATTATTTGACTCGCCTATAATTTGAAAACGGCTCATTCGATTTGACCCAAACTTGGAGGAAATTTGGGGATACCGTATATGTTGAGGAATTACTAAAGTTCCGAAAAAGGCTTCTTCCACAGATTTTATTCACATACAGAAAATTTTAGATCTTGTAATATAGATATTTTTTAGCCAATGAAAATGGTGAGGAAGCTATACTAACCTTATTTAGCAGACTTTTTTTTTGGAAGAATTTTAACCATCTATAATTTTTGGACAAAATTTACCTATTAAGTATTTATCACTACTGTTAGTGCAAAAGGTCGTATGTAAGCAATTTCAATTTTATTCTATTTTACATATGACCTTTTGCACTAACAGTAGTGATAAGCATGTTCAGTATGCACTGCCGTTTTTGTTCTAATCAGGCATCATCAAATATGCAACGTGTAAATGTGAACTCTTTCGCGATTTTAGTATTCATTGATGAACAAAACTCCTGGATATCAAACCCGTTGTGGTGACCTGTTACCCTAAATTGAGCACGCTCTGTCAAGGCCTTCTGCTCACTACACTAACCATACAATACTTCGACACCGCATATGTTGAGGGATTACTAAAGTTCCCTCAAAAACATGTGTACATATAAAAGAAACAATATAAACAAAATATGTAAAAAAAATAATTTTATTTCACCTTTGCAATTATCCCGGTGTCTTGAAAATATTTGATAACCTCTTCTTCTGAAGACGGCAATTCAAACAATTTAACGACATCCATAATTTTACGAAAATAACACTGACTCACAGCTTACACTAGAAACAAAAAATTAATAATGGAATAACTTAGGTTAGAAAAGATAAGAAGGGAAGTTATGTGATATAACATTAGATAACAAGGGAGTTTTCAACCCAACCAGCTATTTAACAAGTGCCCTTTTTTTTGGAAGAATTTTAATAATCTATAATTTTTTGACAATAAACACTTCTACTTAAATCTACGACAAAATACAGTTCTAGGATACAGTTTTCTCAAGAGATTAATGTTTCTCACTTTTTGTTATCATAAATCTCTGAATGTCATATTTCTAGTAAAGTAATAATCAAATTAATTTTGAATGCCTGATCTATTGATGTTATGAAGAAGGATGCCCATAACTTTCTATTGCTTGTTGCAAATTATGTTATCAATGTTTATTATTAAATTATAACATGACTTTCTTATTTTTAGTTTAATCATAAAATCTGCTTCATGGGTGGTAAATACTTCTATTTCACTTAAAAAATTAGTAAATGTTGGAATGTGTTGAATTTTAAACTGCATTATATTAAGTTTCATGTTAAAGTTATAGAAAACTGAGTTGTCAAAAAAGAATTTTAATCTTTTCTAGATTTCGGCTGTATTGAAAGTCCAATAATACCTGGTGTTATTCCTCCTGTTTCAAGAGGAGATATAACTTCTATTTGTGGGAAGAATAGAGGTATTCAAGGACACCATAATTCTTGCTATTTAGATGCAACACTTTTCAGTATGTTCACCTTTACTAGGTAAGATTTAATTTATATTTTTTATTGTAATTTAATTTATTGATTAAGGTAATATTAGTACTTGTAAATTAAAGAATAATTGGACTGATCCCTTGAATTTGTTTTTTAAAGTGATGATACAGTTAATATATTTATATATTATTGATAATACATTGAACTATGAATTTGCTGTGATTAGCTCCTGTATTTGAAGTGAAGTGTTTTTGGACCCAGCTTTTTTTTTTTTTCATTGTATTCTATGTATTTTCTAAAGAAATTTTGTATTTGTTTAATATTTCTTAGATATTATATGCAGTTTATTTTGTACCCCAGTTTTTAAAAGTATTCTGCACATGTTTCGATGAAAATCTGTTCACTTTTTTGATAGTTTTTTTAACAACTTGAAAACATTACATCACCCATAAAATTCTAAATGCTCATTTGAAAGAAAATTAAATAATTTGCAAAATTAAATTTGTCAAATTTAAAAACAAAACAAAAAATAATGTTGATTCGACTAATATTAGCAAAGATATAGAAAAAAAAATTGGTATTAGAATTTTTACTCATAGCGATAGAATTTACACTCACCTTTTTTTAAATCCATTTAGATTCTGAATAAAAACCAATTAAAAAAATTTTCATTAATTTCATGCATGTCCAATAATTTTATATATTTATGATATCAATGTTCTGTAATTTCAATTTCTTTTGATATTTGATCATGAAAATTTTGTAGAATTTATGGGCCAAAAAAATTTAACTTATAATACAAAATCCTTCTGTTTTTTTTGTTTTTTTTTGTGAACTGCACTGATACCTTTTTTCAATTTTCAGTGTCTTCGATAGTTTGTTGTACCGGCCAGCTTTGTGCACTGATATACCCCATTACCAATTAATTCAGAGAGTGCTTCGAGATGAAATAGTTAATCCATTAAGAACCAATTTTTATGTTAGAGCTGACAGAGTAATGAAACTACGTACACTCATGAAGGAAGAACTAAAAGATGTTTCTTTTACGACGGAAGAAAAAGGTTATCATATCCTCAATTTATCCTATCTTAGTAAAAATTTTCCAATTTAAATAAATAATAATTTAAGGAATAAAAATATGTTCAAACATATATTATTGTATTCAGTGCATATGACATTAACTTTGAATTTTTGCCTCCTCACTACCAAAGGTAGAGAAGCATTCATTGTCTATGTGCGAGAGGATAAAAAAAAATTTGTGCTCAGAATCGAAAATTTCTAATCGTGTTTTACGTTTCAGACATCAAGGATCGAATTTGGTTCGGTGTCTGTCATGATTGTGCGAGTTGGTGCCTAAATGGTCCCATATAAATTTTATCAAATTCCGTTCAGCACTTGCGCTTTCGCACGCGCAAACATATTTTTTTAGATATGTCAATATTTCAGAAACAGCTCGTTCGATTTGGCTCAAATGTGGAGGGAGTAATGGATTGGTAAACAGATAATCAAGTATGTATCTATTTTATCAAATTCTATCCACTACACCAAAAAAAAAAAAAAAATTTCCGCTTTTGGATCAGTAAACGTACTATTTGAAATGCTTGTAGTTTGAAAACTGTATGTTAGAATTGAGCCAACTTTAAGGAAATTTGGAGAACAGTATAGAAATTATGTAGTCTAAATTTCATTGAATTCCATTTATTAATTAAAATTAATATAAATAATTGTTAACAATATAATGGCTATGAAATGTAGGTGTCTATCATATGTAGAGGAAGTTAGATTAATACAATATTTTTATGGGGTTATAAAATTTTATGTTTTATTCAAAAAGTTAATGTATACTGTATTGTTTGGTTGATTATAAACGTTACTGGCGTGACACTTACTGCCATTACTTAGATTATGTTGATTTAATGTAATTTTCAGTAAATTTTTACTCTGAGTTTGAAAAAAAAAAACCTCTTTTTTGTGATTGTATTTATTTCTATTGAAGTTCAACCAGATCGTCTTAGTCTCGATTCCCTCTTTAAATGACAAAGTTGTGTGAACTTCTCGCATATTTTTATATTCCAGTTTAATTAATTCTGACTGAAGGAAATTATTGGTCTTGTTAACTCTGAACAAACAAAAAATTGAATTTTTCCTAAGGAATTTTCGTTTCATCCATTTTACCAGTGAAAACATTCATACTAAATATATATCTCTACTGTGAGTGCAAAAGATCATAAGTAAAAATGTTCATTATATTTGTGCTAAAGGTGACATTTTGTAGTCTGCTATGGAAAATAGCAGAGGGCATTAAAATATGAAATTATACTAATGAACCATAAAGAAATAATTAGTTTTTATGCTCTCCTGTGAAACTCAATTTTTACATTAACAGTAGTGATATGCATGTTCAGTATGCACTGGAATTTTTTTTTTAATCACAAATCATTAAATATGCAATCTGCAGATGTGAAACTCTTTCCCAATTTAGTTTTTAGTGATGAAAAAACTCATCTATATCAAACTCATATATGTGGAGGGATTGATGAATTTCCAAAAACGGGTTCTCCAAGAGATTTTATTCTCATACAAAAAATGTTGGACCTTGTAATGTAGATATTATAAGGTCTAAAATGTTTCGTTTTAGCCTTCTTTTTTAAAATTTATCTTTAGCCAATGAAAAGAGTGAGGAAGCTATACTGACCTTACTTGGCAGACCTTTTTTTCATTGGTAGGCTAGATCTAAATTACTCTTTAAATTATAAAGAGATATTAAGTTTTGGAATATTTCTACTTTTTTATTTATTTTTTCAGCTGTATATACATAAGTTCTTCTTACCCTAAATTTACCTAGTCCGAATTTATTTATTCATATATTATCTGTTTAATTTATGAATTGTTTATTTATTATTAACTATCTGATTTAGTTTCATTATGTATTAAATAATTAATTTGTTTTATTTAGATCCTGAAGAGTTTCTTACCTCATTGGTTGCCAAAATTTTAAGAGCTGAACCTTTTTTAAAACTCAGTTCTGGGCAAGAAGCTTACCATTATCAATTGTTTGTTGAAAAAGATGAGGCTCTAATATTCCCTACTGTCCAGCAGCTTTTTGAGCAAAGTTTCCTTTCAAGCGACCTTAAACTGAAAGAGGTATCTCAAATTTAATTTAAAAATTAAAAATAAGGATTGGAATTGGTTATTTGATGAATGTTAGTCTATCAAAGTAAAATTTTTTCTAGTATATTCATAATATTAAATGCCATAAACTATGTCTTCAAAAATTCAAGAAAATAAAATTGTAGCCGTTTAACAAATAATTAAGTTATAAAACTTATTTTTATCTTTATTCTGATGAAAATTTTATATTCTTGACAAATTTAGCACTTGTTTCTGCCTGTATTTTGTTGGTCTTAGTATACTGATTATCTGTAAAAACAGTGAATCTAACAATTCATTACTTTTCAGTTAACATATTTTACTAGGTATTTTAAAAATTTATATTTCTTCAAAGGATTAAACTAAAATTGGCTTCATCAGAATAAACATTAATCATCCACTGGATCTCATTCAAGCAGATCTTGTTCCTCTCTAGCAGTTCCTTTGAAATACTCTCTTCTTCTGTCTGCTATATATTTGTTCTGCCAAATGTTTCCATCATTATCCTTGTTTTCTTTACAGAGATTTTGGATTACAGAGATTCTTGCCTCATTCTCTTAATTTATTTTACAAATATTCTGGTTTACTTTCACATTTTTTCTCCATTCCTACGATTGCTGGTACAGGATACTCAGTAGTGATTTTCGGTTACCTTAAACAACATTTAGCTTCACCTCTTTACATCTTTCTTTGTGCAGAGAGAATGAAGCATTTATCATAAAAATTGAATATTGTATAGTTTGTTTAGTTTCATCTTGGTTCACTGACTATTAAAGATACTTTGAGAGTTAACACATTGATAGTTATTTATGCTTTGAATGAAGGCAAAAATCCTAAAGTAGAGATTTAGTTGAAGTTGAATTCACTCTTTTTACACCTCATCAATAATATATATACAACTTTAGTATTGATTTAATTGCAAATATACTTTTTAAAAACAATCATATCATGTTTTGCTTTCAAAGATTGATTTTGTAAAAATATGTTTCAGGTTCCTTCTTGTCTGATTATACAAATGCCGAGATTTGGAAAATCATTTAAAATGTATCCAAGGATTTTGCCTTCCCAATTGCTTGATGTAACAGATGTTATTGAAGATTGTAAGCGTTATAATTAGTATTTCAATGTTGTGCTTTTGCAGTAAAATTATTTTGTTGTTTCTTGTTTACAAACTTTAATAATGGTTCATATTATTCCAGATGGAATGGAATATGTTATAAGTCATTAAAGAGTTTCATGGTTTTTCATCATTTTCATTCTACTGTCTATTTTTCAATGATACTATCATTTGCTTATTATATTAATATTTAATCAAATAATTAAGTTATTTATATTGTGGACTAATTACTTTGCTCTATTCTTGAGCTCAACAATCCTTGGATAACCCGATCCTCCTCAACATCCTGTTAGCACTGCCTTTTTTCCTGGGTCGTCCTATCTCTTACACCTAGATGTCTGAGGTCATCTATATTAATCCAGTTGAGTTTCATCCTTCTCCTTTGTCTTGCTTATTCTAGAATCTCACACCTTGTGTAGTTAAATAATATTGTACATTTATCAATATTTAATATATGTTATTTTCAGCTCCCAGGCAGTGTACAGTGTGTGGTAATTTAGCTGATTTTGAATGCAAAGAGTGCTTTGAACAATGTGATGTTGGTCTGCAGAGTATTTCATTCTGTAGAGCATGCTTGGAAAGGGTATGAAATTTATTTTTTATGTATGTTCCTCTGTATATTTGTTACAATTGATTATTATTTAAATAATAAATAATATTTTTTAAATAACTACTAAAATGAATAATATTTAACATTTTTCAATTGTCTATTATGATAATTTCAGTAAATAAAGAATTTTTATAAGAGAGATTAAAACTATTGATTATTATTTGTTACTTTTTGAATATTCTAGTTTAATTTTTTTTACATAATACTAACAGTTAATATTTAAACTTCTCATAACTCCTTTATATCATTAACAGTCACATAACCATGAAAGAAGAAGAAATCACAAATATAAGCCTTTAAGTGTGCCTCTTGAATTTACCATCATTAAAGACCATTGTCTTATCCCAAGACTTTATATGCAGTTGTTTGCTGTAGTCTGCATTGAGACTTCTCATTATGTAACATTTGTGAAATGTGGAACTGGAGCTGATGCACCTTGGTGCTTTTTTGATTCAATGGCAGATAGAAAAGGTATAATTATATTTCTTGATACTTTTATAATTTTTGTAAACATTTAAAAATCTATAATAATTCGTTAATTATATATGCTAATGCATATATAATTAATTTGTTAGTAAGTGCAATAGATGTTGATTAAATAATGTCATAAAATATATATATATATATATATATATTATTATTTTTTTTTCTGTTGGCATTATAGATCATGTCCACCTTTTACCGCCTTAACAAGCCTGCTCCATCTCTGCCTGTCTTTGACTATTCCATTCGATTTATCTGCACACAGCTCTATTGTATCTTTGTTAATTCTTCTATCCATCTTCTGTTTCATCTTCCACGTGGTCTTTTGTCTTCTATTGGGGCATTAATTGTTACGTAGAGGCTTCCAAATGGATTGCTATGAGCTACATGCCCCATCCATCTTAACCATATAATATAACACAATATAATCAATATAACCATCATGGAATATTGATTGACCAGTTTCTGTAAGCTGCTCTTTATTTGTCTTTCTTCTCCATCTGTTGGTACTCTGATCCCAGATCGTTCCGGTTATCGTGCAGAGGATTTTTCTTTTAACATTTTTTTCTAGAATGCTGGTTAGTGTCCAGGTGTCACAGCCATATAGTAGAATTGGCTTTATCATAACATTGTACACTCTTAGAGATTTTTCAGGATTTCAATACCTTTGAAAGGAATAAGAAAGCTCTGTTTGTACTAATTACACGCTGGTCTATTTCTGTGCATTGGTCATTCATTGAGGTTATTGTGGAGCCGAGGTATTTGAATTTTTCCACTCTTGGGAATAATTTTCTTTCTACGTAGATCCTATTATTGGGATGGAATTTTCGGCTTATTATCATATATTTTGTTTTGTCTTCATTTACTTGTAGGCTGATCTTGATCTACTCTGTCTCTTTTATCAGAGTCGCAGCGAGTTTCTTAATGTCATGTTGACTACTTTCAAGGACAGCTATAACATCTGCGTATCCAAGGACTTTATGATTCATTCAGACATGGATCCCTCCATTTTCCTGTGATGTTGTTCTTATTACCTTCTCCAAATGTTGAAGTTGAACAATATCAGTGATAGTCCATATCCCTGCCGTAAGCGCATTCGAACTTTGAAGGCTTCAGATACTTCTTCTTGTATTAGGACTCTTCATTTTTGTTCATTTGTATACACCTTTGTCAATCTCACCACCTTACCGGGAACTCCCAGTTCAGTAATGATTTTCCAGAGACAGCTCCTGTCCACAGAATCATAGGCTGCTTTGAAATCTACAAATAGGGTGTGGACATCCTGAGCTACTTCCCATCGTTTTAAGATGAAGATTTGTTCTAGCGTGCTCCTTCCTTTCCTGAATCCAGCTTGATGGTTACCTATGGTTCAGAAGTTTCCAATTGGTTTTGAATATCATTTAGTGCTTTTTATTTTAGAAGGCTGCTTTTCAATGTTAACCGTATTTATTCATCAAATATATATGAAATTATTATTCACCATTAATTACACCATGAAATTTAAATCATCAACTAATTAGAAAAATTCAAATGAAAAAATATTCATACCCAGAATAAATGAAATTTATTCAAATAAAAAACCTATACTGGTAATTTATAATTTTATATATTATTTTGCAATAGGGGAACAGAATGGTTATAATATCCCAGAAATGGTGGCCTGCCCTGAGCTTCCTTATTGGCTGTCCGAAAAAGGAGCAATGGATCTTCAATCAAAAGATGAAAGACGACTTCCAGAATATGCAAAAAGATTATTATGCGATGCTTATATGTGCATGTACCAAAGCACTGAGGTCATGATGTACAGATAAACAGATGATGGTATGAGCATTTTAAAAGATTGCTTTAGGAATGTTAAATGTGATAAAATAGAAAATAGTGATACTGAGATGGCTTAACCATAAGTATAATGTTCATAATATGTTAATATAAACTGTCTTATCACACAATCTAGTCATATAAAGCATATGAACACTTATTTACTAAAATAGGATTAAGATTGGTAATGTAATTAATGTTATTTTTAAACAAAAAATATGGTTCAGAAGCTTCCAAGTGGTTTTGAATATCACTTAGTGCTTTTTATTTTAAAAGACTGCTTTTCAATGTTAATGGTATTTATAATGGTTGTGCATGGTTGTTAAAGAAAAAAGAATTATCTACAACAGATTTTATATTATAATTAAAATCTCTATCAAACTGTTTGTGTAATTTTTTAGTTTATTGAAAGTGGAAATATTCTTGTTAAAAAACTGTATTCCAGTTTATTTTGAAAAAAGATACTTTATTTTAAAACAATCAATAAGTATTAAATATTTCCCACTGATTAAAGTTGCTATCTCAGAAGTTGTTAAGTATTCAGAATTAATTAAAAAGAATATTGTTGACAGCTTGTTTATTTGTTTTTAGAACATAAATCATAAATTTCCTTATGAAATTAAGGAAAAAAAATGTTCTTTCTTTTTTACATTTTATTCTAAAAGATCACTTTTAAAAAAAAAAAATGGTGAGGAGATTTGTTAGTAATTTATTGATTATAACAATTTCTATTTAATGTGTTGGCTAGGACAGAATGATCTATGCTATTTTTTCATTGGGCTTGAGTTTAGGGTTAAAATGTCTTCCATTTCCATTAGCTTGGTTGTAACGGTCCCAATTTCATGTATGAGAGTTTTGGGTTATTGCTAGTTTGCCTAACTGTGTCTAATGACTTGCATGATTTCATGATTTTGCAAATTTTATCTTATATTTTGTATTTTTATAAGATGTGTGTAATTTTCTCATCAGTCTACCTTACCTTATGTTGGGCATATTGCTCTTGGATTGTTGGATCGTAAGTTGTTTTTTTTTAACCCACAAATTTTATGCAACCTTAAGCTTCTGACTCTGACTAAATACTTATCATTTTTAAATTTTTTTAGGCCCTTTGTTAAAGATAACACATATGATAGTTTATAAAACTAGAGTGTAATTCATGATTCATAATTCTTAATAACTTTATACACCTTACGTGTCATGAATTCAATTTATACAACAGTTTAACTTTAAAAAATAAAAATTTTCAATAATTAATAAAAATCATTTTTATTTCTACCATTTGATTATAATGAATTTTCAGAAATAATATTTTAAGTTGTGACTTTGTATTAGTTCAGTAACTTTTGCTAAATAAAAGACATTTCTTCAAAAAACATTTAGCCCAGGTTTTTGTCATGGAATCTTTGTTATGTCATTCCAAATAATACCTGAAAAATACTTCTGATTCTATGTTGTATGCTTCTTTTTTTTTTTAGGAGGATGTAGTAGGGGTGGAAATTTCAATTCAGGTACTGGGGCAAGTGTGTTATCGTTTTGTATATATTTTTTAAAAAAATAAATGGAATAAACAGAAAACAAAATCCATAAAATCAAAAGCATAAATTACGAAGGAATTTTATATAAAATGAGGCAAGATTTTAACTTCTACCTACATTTATCATGAATGTTTTTAAATCTCAATGCTATAAATTTTCTTGAAAATAGCTATAAAAACATTTTATGTGAAGTAAAGTTTTAAATATGGCTTCATTAATGGAGCTAGGCAACTTTTCCATTTCTTCAAAGAACAGAGGGGGCATTTTCAGAAAACTTGTGAACTTGCTTTCACGGATTGAACAAATGACAGTAAATTGTCTAAATGATTTAAGACACTGGTTCATACAATATTTTTATTTCAGGACTGTAAAAAGTAATTTCATATTGCGATAGTATACTTTGTAGCAATTTTTAATAACATGTATGTGTTACACAACATTATGTTTTAGAATTTTTTTTTTTTTTAAGATATGTAGTAACTTATGAATTATTGTTGTGTTGACTTGGTTTTATGTTTTTCTAATAATCATAAAAAATATACACTAAATGATACCACCCTTTACTAGGTACCTGATTTGAAGTTCCTGTTTACTTCCCTCTCCCTCTCCTCCTACACCCTTCTAAAAAAGAATTTAGCATATGAAATAAAGTTGGACACTTTTTATTAGAATGACATACCAAGAAAAGTGCTGATTTTTCATTAATAAAAAAAAAAACTTAATAAAATAGAATGACAGATGAGTCATTCATATAATATTTAATCATTTAGCATTTTTGGACCTAGTGATTTGTCTTAAAGAAAATATCAACGTTTTGAAGAAAAATTTAGCAAATGTAAAGGACCGGGACATCAAATGGTCAAGTAATATAAGAATGACCCAAATGCCAATTAGCATGATTAAATCTTGCTTTCAGATTATTTTTCATCTATATACTACTGTTAAAATAGAATCCAGTTGAATGTCCTCTTAAACTTAAATAATTCCAATTTATTATCATCCTCTGAAAATATTTTATTTATGGTGCTAAATTGTGTATAAAGTAGGTAAGAACTTTGTTTGAAATCTTGATTTTAATTTTTGTATATCTGTTGTTTGAACTGTTTAAGTATATAATTTTAGATGTTATATTAAAATAAAATGAACTACCGTACGTTAATACTTTAGACGCATTTAACTGCTATTATATGAATTATAGTGTAAATAAAATTATATGAAGTATAATTATTGTTATAGGAAAATATATATGTGATTTTATTAGGTTCCTGAGCTGCTGGCAGCTTTGAATATCATTAATTTAATTACATCACACACGCATATATTTTATATATATATATATATTCTAATTTTGTTTCTTTTAATTGAAGAAATTCTTAATGTACTATTGAAAATTTATATATGATCTTGAAAGTCCCTAGAAAATAAATTTGATACATGAAAAATTGCTGTTTTTTTTTTTTTTTTTTTAAATCATTAGTGATTTATACACTGTGTTCTAGTTAAAATTGATTTGAAAAATTGAAACATTCAAATTTTATTGCTGATAAAGTTTTTTGCTTTCTATCTGTCCCTAAACAAAATCCAGGCTTCATTATTGAAAAAATTCTGAAATTATGGACAAATAATCATAGATAATTTTATTGTTTTATCAATATTGAAGCTTAGATTTGCTTCAGGAATAGTTAGAAAGCAAACAATCTCAATCGCAGTTTATTACTTTTACCTCTGATCCAACATGTCTATTATAATTATTTAATTTGAGGAAACATTAAAAACAATTATTGTTAAATTTTGGGGGTTTAAAGATTTTTTCAGCGTTAATGGAAAAAATAAAATGAACTGTACAATCATGTGTTATTTTAAATATTGTCCAAACGATTTATTTCAATTTTTGCAAATGAAATACTAATATGAGTATCAACATACGATATATACAAAATATGAACATAATAGCCGAAGTTGTTAATAGAGTTTGGTCATAAATGAAATTACAAATAAATAAGAAGTCTTATTTTATTGTGTGGTGGTGTTTCAGCATAAGTTTTAGGCCTTCGTGAGGGCTAAGTTTAAAGGAAGATAACAATCAGTATAGAAAAAAGTAAATAAAATATTAAAATTTAGAGTATGAAAATGATAATTATATTCCAAACCAACTTAATATTTAACCAAAGTTTTAAGTAGAAAAATGAATAAAGTAATAGAGAATAAATTATGCATTTCATTTTCTCTTGAAATTAATAATGGTGTTTTGCACATTAGTGCTATTGCTTTTTCAAACCTTTTTGCATGTTTTTCTTATTCACATAATTAAAACTATTCATATTTTATTTAGTCGATGTTCAAAATATTCAAGTTTCCGCTTTTATAAAAATCTGTTGCGGTGCGTGTACCACAAAACTTTCACTTACCACCCTTTCCTTAGCAGAAATAAGTATTTTCAGACAAAGACAGTACGGAACATAATTTAAAACAATTAATTTCCATATCTATTTAATAGATGTCTAATGTATTATATTTGTTTTGTTTGTCACAAGCCATTTCCATTTACTACTGTATATTTCAATTATTTATTTGATTGTAATAAATAATTAAGTGTTACAGAATATTTTTAGTTTGACAAGAGTGCCACTGATTAAGAAAGCCTCTATATCTATTTATATTTCATTGTGGGTATTTTAATTTGTTTAAGCACCGGTATATATAAATTTTAATATTTATATTGGTGTAATCTATAAAATTAAATATTAAGTACTACCAGCACGAGCATTTATAATAACCGCATATGTATATGTATATAGTATTGTCGGAGTTACAATCACTTCAGAAGCCATCCCTTTTTTACACAACTTGTGGCGAATCTCAAGTTTTTCTCTGATAGACCTCAACTTAATTAATATGGACTTATAGTAGAGTATCTATAGTATAGTTGGATGGTGATAAAAAAAAATATGAATAATTTACAATTTTTTTAACAACAGAACTTAATTTAGTTTGGCCACTCAAAAATCCTCTTTAATTGGTTTTAACAATGACAAACTCTATTTTTGTATAAAGTAAATTTTGTCTAGTTTACAGTGACGCAATTGCTAATTACTTAAATTAAATATTCTTCAGTTATTGCTTCATATTCAACAAAAAAGATGACATAAAAATACGCTAAACTTGGATTTCCAACTTTTCTACTGAAAATTGGCCCATTTTTTATAAAAACTTTTTTGTAGCTTTTGAGGTATGATATCACTCTTCTAAAAATTTCCCTCTACTTACAGGAAAACCTGTATACTATAATTAATTCTTAGGAAGTACTTCTTAAAAATTTATTCATAATATTCAAAGATTTTAAAGCGATGATAAAACATATGCATTGCCTTACAGTAGTTTTCAAATAACCCTGATATAATGTTAAGAACAAGTAATTTGTTAGTTACTAAAGCAATTATCACCGTGTTTTAAGCCGTGTTTGCACAATTTCCAAACCATATGGAAAAACAAGTGTTTACTTTATGGTTTGGGAAATGTGCACACACTGCTTAAAATACTGCATAAGGTACTTTCTGCAAGCCCCATTTGATATGTTTAGAAAAACCAAAAACAGAAGGATTGAACAATCCTTCTGCTATTGGTTTTTCTTAACATATCAAATAGGGCTTGCAGAAAGTACCACTTAAGGGCTAGTGTTGCTTGAAATTTCAACAGACATTTGCTGATCTGCTGTTTAAAAAAAAATTCTATTATAGCAATTATTTTAAAATGAAACGACACATTCAATATTTATTAAATAATTTTTTTCATATAAATTTGTCAATAAACATTTATAAATATATTAATAATAAGAATAGTGATGACATTGAAGTAAATAGGCAAAATTCAATATCACCAAATAATCTTAACATCAAAAATAAAAATATAAAAAGATGTAACAATCTTATAATGTGATTATTTAAAAGCATCAAATGGCGAAGAAAATTCAGATAAAGATAATAAGACTAATGCATAAAAACAAAACAAAAATTGGAATAAATACCATCAATTGAAATATATTCCCGGATTGACAGGAAAAATATTTCAACACTTAATAAGCTTTTGTTAAATATGATCATAATGACCTATTGTTTGGGCTTTAAAACAATAACAAATTATAGAAGCATATACCAAACATGAAAGATGATATTAATACAATAGACAAACAAGTATGACCTACATAAAATTGAATGAATGCATTTTCCGAAGCAATATATAGTAGAGACTCTAAAAAACTTAAAAACATGAATAAAACTACACAGAATAAATGTGGAAAATGAAAGCAACAGCTTTATCTAATCATATTATAATAAATAATCATATAATTGATTTTAAAAATGAAAACAATACTAAATTGTGTAGAAAACATTAAAATAAGAAAACAGTAGGATCAATATATATAAAATCAAAGGCATAAATAATTCACGGAACTTCAAATCTAACTTTAAAAAAATGGCTAATATTATGTGCATATTTTGAATGAAATTAACATTTAATTACTTGCTTTATCGTAAAATAATATAAATATTAAACAATACCATTGCTGTATCCCAAATTCTAAAGAATATGCTTAAAGTATTACATTCGGCTTTAAGCAATAAAGGAGGAAAGACTGCCTGGCACTAGTAAGTGATAAATTAATAATTCAAAACTTAAATAATATATAGATTTAAATATGATACTCTCATAATAAATATATATATGTATATTCCAGTTAATTAATTGACAAGCATTTTATTAAATGTGGAAAAATCATGACATGAATTGTATTTTATGGACTATCAGAAAAATATGACATTAGTTAGAGATAATTAAATAAGAAAACGGAATGTGAAGATTTCTGGTCCATTCTTTTATCACTGGTTTTAAATTTTGGTTAATTTTCAAAAATAATATTTTATAATTGAAATGGAATTGTGACTTACTAAATCATTTATCATTATTTCTTAATAATGTATTTTGTTATTTTTTAACTATTGATAACTTGATGATGAGCCAATGGACCTCATAACATCTTTTTAATGATGTTTAAATAAATGGATAAAGTGAAAAGGGTAATTCAAAATTGGTAAATGGTTGACTGTCGTGAATAATGGAGAGAAGAATAGTTGGGGTGATCAGTCAAATAAGAAGGCAAAAATAAATGATATTATTTATTTTGACATTAGCCGACGAAAAGGGTAATTATTTATTTTTTTTAATTTGTAGAATATAATTTCTATATTTTTACTTTGTTGGGATTTTTTTATTTTAAAAATATTAATAATTTAAACAAAATTTTAAATAAAAATATTTCTCTTTCTCCTCCTCATCTCCCCTACAAACATTTCCTTACAATATTTATATTGTCCTTGTTATACTTTATAGGATGTTAAATTGATATTATTAATTTAGGTCATTGGTTTTATTGTAAGATAAAGTTTTACATTGCAGGAACAGTGCAACTGTATTTCGGTTTTAATGTAGAACCAACTGACCCCATATTTTAAAATATCATATAGAGTATCTGCTTAATATTTTTTAACTACTACTGCTTTTAGTTTAGAGTAGTTCAACAAACAAACAAAGCAACATTAATTAAGTGAAGAGTGAAGTCTCTACTGTGTTACAATTTTTAAAGTTAACAAAGTACTATGACAGGATATAAATTATAGTGAAATGCCATTGACTCTTTATGGTAGAGGTGAGAAAGAGGAAAAAAACCCATTAATTAATTAGTTTCAAAATAATTAAATTTATTTTTGTTTTAGAGGTTAAGAGTAATTGCATTTATTTTGCTTTAGAATACATTTCCATTTCATAAATAAAACATCATTAAAGTATGTAAAATATTAAAAATAATACATTTCAATTGCTTCATTTTGCATCCTATTTGATAATGTGAGAAATTATTACAGCATCATATTTTTTTTATAACAAATTAATAAATTCTTTATTGTTTTATTTGTTTGCTAGGGTAAAATTCCTAGTTATTGGGATCTTTAAGAAAACTTAAAACAATATTTTTCTTACCATGGAGTTATTTGATTATCTTTTTTTTGAATTGATTTGTGCAAACACCCAAAGATTACAAGTCATGACTTGTTTGGAACTGTCAGTAGAAATGTGAATTTATTTATTTGGATGTTATTGGTTTATTGTCTCTAATGGAAGCATTTTTTTTTTTTAATTTGCAGTGATGCTTCATTTTTGTTAACAGGCTTTGTAAGTGTTGAATGGACTTGTGTAGTGATGTTTCCTGAGTGAATATAAGAATGATTTAATGGTTTCTTCTTTTAAATATTAAAATGATGTTTCAACAGAATTTTTTGAATCTTCAGTAAGAAATGTTGTTCTGTCTTTAGTCTTTATCTATATCGTCTCTAATGTGGTGGAATGAAGCGCACCAAGAATCAATTCTTGGCCTTTATTCTGCTTGATGTCTGGTTAATTTAGTATTAAATCTGGAACTGGCAATTTTTATAA